GCACACTGACCATAAAAAGCCCTCCGTGAGCGCCACCACCTGCCAGACCGCCGTTTCTGCAGACGTGATGTAAGTGTAAGGCATCACCACCAATTGCATGGTCAGCACGGCCAATTGGCCGCAGAGCGTGTCATGAGTCTACCGCTCACCTCAAGGGAATGGGGTCCCACGTTGCGCGGCTTTCGGCCGCAGCCTTGAGAGCCTCCTCAGATTCTCCCTCCAGCTACCACCCGCATGAGGTCAACACATATGCTCCACCAACCAATACAATGGCAGATATAGCCAATAGGCAGTTATAAGATAATATTAATAATTCGCCATCAGAAAGGGTTTGTGTCACTGACGTTGAGTATATGCATTTTTCGATCATGTTTGTCTCACCCACCAACAAGTTGCCTTCAATCTCTCAAAGGTGGGAACTTTATAGAGATATATTATTAAGTTGTTATATAAAACATCATGGAGGGCAGACAGTCTGCAGCCCCGCAATGAAGGGACCCGACTTGGGCAAAGCTACTTAGGTTGTGAGTCAAACCAAGACGTAGAGAGCGCCATTGAGAATAGCGACCCGCCAAACAACCATCGTAGAGACGCAATGCTACAGAATGCAACAAGCATCAATACGACTATCGTCGGGCTTACACCATCCCAAGGTCCCCCATACAGTCCCAGCAGACATCACCACCCGCATACCTCCATCGACCAGAACCACAATATGCATCGAATCAGGTGCAGCACACCCGAAGATCCATCACAAGACACAATACTGCAAGTAGCAGTAAGCATCAATGCAACTATCATACGGATGGCGCCCCCTCACAACACACCTACATGATCCCTATCGACTTTGGTAACAAAATTTAATAATGTTGTTAACTAAAAATACCACCAACGTATCATAGTAGCACGGTACTAAGACGTCAGTAGCCAAAACTCCACGTATCATAGCGCTATTGCACTAAGACATGAAGTTGAGTATGCTTGCTGCACTTAAAAGTAACTACCAAACACACTCACCCTAATCCGAAAGATAGCCGACGTATCATAACGCTATGCGCTAAGACGTCGCCCACAAACGGTAGGGGTGTGCGATGTCCACGGGCAAGTCGTATTGCTACAACAAACCCGCTTACCACCGGCACTAAGATGATATGTCTAGGACACATCGGTTAGTGAGTCCAAGTTTACCTCGGTCTCAGAGGCTGCGAAGTAACCTACACGCCACTATAATAATCCTTTTCAAGTCCCATTTCTTTCAATATAATGCTTTTACATATTTGAGACCTTCCACATATTTGCTTTATTTCATAGACCATACTACTGTATGTCTTATTCATATGGGACTTCAAGTCATAACTCTGCTATCATAATGCTTATGCATCATAGAGACCTTCTATATTAATGCTTTGGTTCGTCAGACCTTACTATGTTAAGTCCCTAATATAGGACTAGTCATTGTGCAACCTTAGTACTAGCAGTCGGTCAGCCGAATACCCCATATATATGTACAGCCTTGGGTATGTGTCTCCGACAACGCCCCAATATAAGGGAACATTACAAGAACACGTTCATTAACTTAGAAATTTTCCAATTATTACACGAACACCTTCATCAACTTAGAAAATTTTAATCCATTGTTTCTATTATATTACAAATGTTATTTATCTTTGTTATTGCAATATAATCGTCTTGTATTTATATGATTTGATACATTTTGAACATTTTAAGCAGGTTTTTAATAAATTTAGAGATTTTTAGAGACATTTTATGCGTTTACTAATATTATAATATTCAATATTCCAAATGGATATTTTTGAACTTTATGCTTATTATTTGCATTTAAATTATAATTTCTAAGACATTTTTAAATGTCTGTATAATGAATTTAATTATTATTTATTAATAATAATTATGAGGCGTCACAATCCACCCCCAAATTTTACGAGTATGTTAATGATCCACATAGTGGAGTCGTTAATATAAAATTTTAGTATTTTGAGGGCATATACACTACACTCAAATAATTGTTTATATATCTGTTCTTTCCTCTTTTAATCTGTTACAATACGGCATATGTTATCAAATCCCCCTGCCCCAGAGAATAGCCGCCACCAACACCCCTTCAACCACAATTATCACAATGTGATAACACCATAATTCAAGTTATTGTATATCGTGTTGTTAATAAAGTTTGCAGTCAATTGTCGATTTCTTATTTTATTAATTTATCTTTAAATCTTTGAAACATTATTTCGATAGTGTCACACTTCATGTGAATACAATCCAGTTGGATATTTGTTGAGGTCAGTTCGATACCACATAGGATAAATGTGATTAATAATAATAATAATTCTTTATTTCAGATATCAAAGATCCATAAGTTGTTAGTATGACTTATATTAGGTTAGTAGTTGAGAACATTAAATAAATTTAATTAAATTAAATCAAAACTAAGATCAAATCTGTACCCAAAATTAAATTACAATAAAATCAAAAATAAAAATAAAATTTAATTCAATTTAAATCAATTCAATATAACTTAATTCGATTCTTTAATATATTAATTACTTGAATAAAATTAATCTATAGTTTAATTCATGTATCTGCCACCCTCTGGGGCACCGGGCACATGCATTTGTAACCAGTGCCACAGAAGGGGGCTGTCAGGCTTATCGCTGAGCACGTTCAGGATGGTGTTGGCGCTCCCCCGCGTACGGAGCATCAGTGAGGCGATGCGGCGTCGCAGCACGGCGTGGAAGCCGTCCGTGTGCGCGTGCGCAAACATCGCAGACGCACTACAGCAGCGCGGGAGCGCCACCAGCACCCTGAATGCGTATTATATTGTATTCGGAGAGCGTTGATGGCCCGCTGCGTGTAGTTGACCCACAGATTGCAAGTGTATAGAGTTTGGCAAAAGGCTTTAAAGAGAGTTATCTTTACTCCAAAGCTACACCGCGCGAATCTGCGTGCCAGCATATTACAGCGGACCGCCATCGCCCTCCTTTCCCTTTCGATGTCAGCATCGTCTTTTAAATCCTCGGTAACCACATGGCCAAGATATTTAAACGCATTCACCCTGCCTAGAGCGACGCCATTTAGCAGCACACGTGGCACATCTCCCAGCTTACGACGCCTAGCTTGAAAGATCAAGAGCTCGCTCTTTTTAACATTGTACAGGAGTCCGTGTGACAAAGCGTACCTCTCACATACACCTATTAGTTTTCTGAGACCTGCGATTGATGGGCTTAGCAATACCATGTCATCTGCATAACTGATACTGTTGATGCAGTGACGATCAATCGAGCAGCCGACCCTTGTGTCGCTCAGCTCAACAATCAACCTATTCACATACAAGTTGAAGAGAGAAGGAGAAGTTAGCCCTCCCTGTCTCACTCCACACTCCAACCCGTACTTGTCAGAAAGCTCACCAAGCCATCTAACCCGGTTAGTTTGGTGTTCATACCAATATTTAAAAATATTGATCAACCCACCCGGCATACCTGTGTCTTTTAATTTACGCCAAAGAATATCATATCTAACCAGGTCAAATGCCTTAGTGAGATCAAGAAGAGCTGCATACACAGGCCATGCATACAAGCCATTCACCCTGACCCAACTCCCATATTTATTCTATAAAAATGATTACAAAATTATCTTACGATCTATATTTACAACTCTTCATTATTTATTAATAACGTTCTTCTATCATATAACAAATCTCTTGCTCATAACTTTAATAATTTTAGACCTTTAACTTAAACAATTATTTCCATGGGCCACCCACAAAACCCTTTTATGTTACAATATTTATTTAATTACTCTAATTTATACAAAAATAAATTATTATTTAAAATATTTTAATAAGTGAATAGCATTGAAAATTCCTCTAATTTCGTTTGTCTCTGGATTTGCTAAGGTATATACATTGTCAAATGGTACGGCTGCTATTACATAAGGTCCTTCATATGCCAAATTGAACTTACTCATAACTTTATTATCAGCGTCTGATCTACTAGATCTTGAAATTTTTACTAAGTCACCAATATTTTATTTTATTAATCTATTTCGCTTATCAAATTTTGTGTTTCTTATTCGAATTGCCTCTTTTTCTTCTTAATTTTTACGCACTTGTTGTCTAATTTGTTCGACATTATGTTTGTCTTTACTTTTGGAAATTACTTTGTCAAAAGACATCTCATTATACTCACCATAAAGAATCTCACAAGGCGTGAAGCCGTACTATTGTGATAAGAATTATTATACAATTCTTCTAATTTCGGCAATATTAACGCCCAATCTTTGTGGTTAGTATGACAAAGCGTCCTAAATAATCTGCTCAACTCTTTATTTACTCGCTCTGTTGTATTTGGTCTAGGATTTCTAACTGTGGTATATATTGGCTTTATATTTAGTTCACTCATTGATTGTTTCCAGTGATTACTTACGAACTGTTTTCCATTATCTGTCATTATTGCCTTGGGCTTTATAATCTCAACAAAATGCTTTACTTTTGTTACAACAGACTTTGCTGTTGACTGTTTTAAAGGATATAATTTGATAAATTTACTGAATGAATCTTGAATGACAAATATGAAAGTGTACCCAAAGGTACCTGATACAAGTGGTCCATATAAGTCTGCCATGACTATATCGCCAATGTTTTCTGTTATTATAGGTTTGCAGGGACCCACATATGTTATATTGCTTTTCTTAGATAACTGACATAAATGACAAGCCCTTAATTAGTTTTTAATATCTTTTGTTAAACCTTTCCAAAAGAATCTGTCTCTCACATATTTAATTACCTTATAGGGTCCTTGATGACCCATTTCGACATGCACTTGATTTATAATATCTTGTCTCAATGCTTTAGGTAAATATATTACTTCTTGTAAATTCGTTTTGTAATATAATACATCATTTTTCAAACTATACCTTTTAAATTTATTGTTTTGTTTTATTATGGAAGTATTTAATGTCTTTAACTTTTCAATAATAGCCTACGACTCTGAATCTTGTAATTGATATACTGATAAGGATTTTAATTTTTCTATCAACTCAATATTCAGTTCGCTCTCTGTGTAAGCAATTTCTAAACTATTATTTTTATCCTCTTGTATTAAATCGCCATCAGGAGGATAACGTGATAGCACATCTGCAACAATATTACGTCTACCCGATATATGCTGTACTTCATAATTAAATTGTTCTATATACAAAATCCATCGGGTTACTCTACCATTGAATAACTTCATATTATTAATAAACAATAATGCTTTATGATCAGTTAGTATTATTACTTTACTGCCCCTCAAATATGTTTCAAATTTCTTTAGGCAGCTTATTACAGCATAAAACTCTTGTTCAGTAACAGACCAATTTAATTCGGGGCCTTTTAAGGCTTTACTATGATAGCCTAAAATTCTCATTTCATTATTATCATCTATCTGATATAGTACTCCGGCCATAACCACACCGGAACAATCTGTTTGTAAATAATACGGCTTATTAAAGTCTGGATGATGCAATTGTATTGTATTAATAAATTGTTGTTTTATAAAATCAAATGCCTTCTGTTCTTTACCGCTCCATTGAAACTTTCGTCCCTTTTTAAGTAATTCACAGAGCGGTATTATGCTCTCGCTGTAATTTGGTATAAACCTTCTATAAAAATTGCATAGACCTAAAAAGGCCCTTAATTTTTTAATCTTTTTAGGTGCTGGAAACTCTTGAATCGCTCGAATCTTATCGGAATCTGTCTTTATGCCTTCTGTTGAAATTATAAAACCCAGCATTTTAATTTCTTTACAAATAAATTCACATTTCTGCAAGTTACACGTTAAGCCAGCTTTGTTCAATTTACTTAAAACAATATCAATGTGCTCCAAATGTTTATCTAACGTTCCTGTTGTAATAATGGCTAGATAGTTCACACAAAATTCTTGGACTTCTGGTCCTAATATTAAATTCATGGCTCTGCTAAAGCTTCCTACTGATGTTTTTAATCCTTGCGGCAAAACATTATATACATATGACTTTCCATTGAATGTGAATCCAGTATATTTTCTACCATCTTTATTTATCGGAATTTGAAAATATGCATTATTTAAGTCAATGGTAGTGATATAATTCGCTCCGTGAAATGAATTCAAAACATCTAATTGTATAGGTGGTTTCTCTGTTTCTGCAACCATTTTCTTATTTATGCTTCTGGCATCAAGTAAAACTCTAATTGAGCCGTCTTTTTTAAGAGTGAATGTCAATGGACTACTATAAGGCGTTGATGTCCTTGTGATGATACCAGCTTGTTCCATTTCATTTAACTTTTCTTCTATTTTCGCTCTATATGCATATGGAATGGGATAGGACCTAGTAACTATAGGTTCATCATCGATCATTTCAATTTTATGCTCATAGCAATTGGCTCTTCCCAATTTGCTCGAAAACATATAGCTTTTCCAAAACCTTACTAAGTTTTGCCCTTTCAGAGACCTCCAATGTAGATCCTATTTTTATATTTATTAAGGGATCATCGGTACATTGTTTAGTGCAGTTATTATGTAATACAGATTTATTATTATATTTGAAAGGTATAAAGTAGTCTTTGTTTTTCACTTTAAATTCTATTCCAACAGTAGTATTTCTCAAATCAATCAATATTTTATTTCCCTTGAGCCAGTCAAAGCCTAATATTAAAGGTCTTATTAAATTACCTACAATTAAAGTTTGTGTTTCAAAGACTACTTCATCTATCTTTATAGGCATTATGATCATCTGTTGTATTTTTGTGCTGCGCTGCCCAACAGCACCTTTTATTTGCATTGATTTAACTGGCATTATTGATATTTTACGATTATTGTCTTTAATTTGTAAATATAAACTTTCTGAAATGCATGTAACATCGCTCCCAGTGTCGAGGAGCGCGTCTATTTCTTTGTCAAATATTGAAACTTTAATTTCAGATCTCATATTCCCTATAAATTCCCTTTGATATTTATCTTCGTCTTCCTCGAAGACGGTTTGCACGAATAACTCCGTTATGGGCAAGTCCGACCTGGCTTTCAAGGTGTTTAATATGCTATTTACATTGTCGTTATAACCAAGGCCTTCTCTGTTAAAATTTGCTTTTAAAGTAATAGGTTTTCGCAACCCTCTATTGTTTTTACCCAATGTTTGACCAGGTCGCCAACCCAGTTTTAATAACATATTTAAAGCTTTGTTCCCTTTTACATTGTAAGGGGTCGATCCGGAAAATGGTTCGACCTCTACAGCTCTAAATTTGGCTCAGGCGCCGTAACATCAGGTTGGTCATTAGTGAAATGTATTTCATGTACTTCATTAACCTTCTATTTTCCCTCTTCGGGTTTACGCCATGTTTTGTATGATTGTTGTATTTCTTTATGTTTTTGCTCCGTATTATTATTAAACTTCCTCCTTTTCTCATTATAGTAAGGTTCACGACCTTCATCTTGTTTGTCGATGTCATCTAAGTTTCTTAAGAAATCTGTCGTGTATATTATTGTCTCAATTTTAGCTATTCTCCATAATTGCTGCACAGTTTTAGGATAATGTCTGATGACATCAGTTACTAATTGTTTTTCAGGTATCGGATATGATAATGTTTGTGCCTTCTCAACCACATAAAGAAAATAGTGCTCTGAGGAATTGTTCGTTCGGATTAATCCCAGCCGCCAAATTTCACGAACGCACATCGCGGTAGAACTCCCGATACCATCCACACCATCTGGATGATTGGCGGTCCACCACTGTGCGATTTAGAAGATGTTTTCTTCCTCGCACGACCTCCTTGTGGAATCGATTACCATCAGCAATTTTTCCGGACCGATACGACTTAGGGACCTTCAAGAAAAGAGCGTACTCCTTTTTAAAAGGCCGGCAACGCATCTGCGATTCCCTTGGTGTTGAAGTTGTTCATGGGCGGCGGTAGTTACTTACCATCAGGTGAGCCGCATGCTCGTTTGCCCCCTCTCCTATAAAAAAAAAATAACTAACCATGGTGGGGTGTGTATTTCTATTCCATTTATTTTGCACAAGGAATCTCTTTACTTTATTTTGTTCTTCTTCACCCCAAAACACTCTTAGGAAGTCAGCTTTAAAATCATCAAAAGTTGTCCAACGCACATTATTAATGCGAGCACAATACTTGGCTTCACCTACTAAGCACTCTTGTGCAATCGAAATTTCAAGACCATTAGATGGAACTTTCCTTAAATAATTGGTGAGATCTTCCAAAAATGATACTGGATGAGTATTTCCATTTCCAATTTTTTTTTTATTGTTACATTTTCTATTGTTACATTATGTACATTATATACAATATTTTGTCTAGGATCATTTACATGAGAGGTGCTCGCCCCGGACACCTCTCCTTGATTTATTTTAATTTGGTAATCTTTCGTTTGGTTAATAAACTTTTCCTCAAGATCTTTTATTTTAACCTCAAAGGTTTTCACTGCATTCTTAATTAATTTCTGAAGCATTTTCATCTCATCTTTAGACTTAGCCTTAATTGAGGTTGATTGTTTCTTATTTTTAGCCATTTTTAATTTTTATTTTCACTTGTTTTTTTTTACACCTGTTGTGTCCTTCACTTACTTTAATTGAGTCTTTCCACTTATTTCACTTTTTATTATTTCGCTCCGTTATGCACACACCTCCTATATTATTTATTACTCAATTTTAATATTTAATCCCCACCCCCAGACTCTCAACCACCCCCAGCAAACACCACTCTCCAAGACACCTCTCCATTTCACGGACAACAAATTGTAGGCATATAGCCCACCTCATAAATTTATATTACCGGCCTCCTATTTAAAATTTAGCCTTTGTAACGAACCCCCCCCCATCTTTTTTCTTTTCTACTATATATCCACTTATACTTGTATTTCTTTAGAATCTATATCTGTAAGATATATAAATATATCTAATTTACGTGACCAGTATAACTTGATCTTTCTAAAGGTTTAAATATAGGCCGCTTAATAAATTTATGGCGTGATCGTCTTAGTTAGGACCCTTTTTTTTACGTTGTGTTTGTATAGTAACTTAGTTAGTTCTTTTAGGTGTATCTTGGAAGAATGAATATTCACGAGAGCAATCGAAAGCTGATGGTAGAGTCTTATAAGCTAAAGAACCCCGTTCACGAATACAGAGCTCAAAAAGGTTAAGAACAATAAATTGTCCCTATTCCACTTGTATCTGGTTCACAACAGTCAATTCCTTATTAATTAATCCCTTCCCGCTTGGAAAAGGCTCACAATATTTATATCAAATACCAGTTACAAGGGCTTCGCTCTCCCACATTTTAAAAAAAATGTGGAGGAGGTACACGGCCCCACACACGCCGCGCACGGTGAGCGCCAACCATTTTAATGCGCTCCCCCCGAAAGGGTACGCAAAGTTGGGAACTGGACCGTAGTCCACAGCAAAATAACTGGCGAACCAGTAAAAGAGGACTTGGCCCCTTGATAGTGCGTAAGCACAAACATCGACCGAATTCGCGCATGTCAATGCGTGTAAACGCCATACAGAATACGATCAAATCCAGCCACAGTGAAATGTACGTCACACGGGTTAGGCAACAATCGGCACACTGACCATAAAAAGCCCTCCGTGAGCGCCACCACCTGCCAGACCGCCGTTTCTGCAGACGTGATGTAAGTGTAAGGCATCACCACCAATTGCATGGTCAGCACGGCCAATTGGCCGCAGAGCGTGTCATGAGTCTACCGCTCACCTCAAGGGAATGGGGTCCCACGTTGCGCGGCTTTCGGCCGCAGCCTTGAGAGCCTCCTCAGATTCTCCCTCCAGCTACCACCCGCATGAGGTCAACACATATGCTCCACCAACCAATACAATGGCAGATATAGCCAATAGGCAGTTATAAGATAATATTAATAATTCGCCATCAGAAAGGGTTTGTGTCACTGACGTTGAGTATATGCATTTTTCGATCATGTTTGTCTCACCCACCAACAAGTTGCCTTCAATCTCTCAAAGGTGGGAACTTTATAGAGATATATTATTAAGTTGTTATATAAAACATCATGGAGGGCAGACAGTCTGCAGCCCCGCAATGAAGGGACCCGACTTGGGCAAAGCTACTTAGGTTGTGAGTCAAACCAAGACGTAGAGAGCGCCATTGAGAATAGCGACCCGCCAAACAACCATCGTAGAGACGCAATGCTACAGAATGCAACAAGCATCAATACGACTATCGTCGGGCTTACACCATCCCAAGGTCCCCCATACAGTCCCAGCAGACATCACCACCCGCATACCTCCATCGACCAGAACCACAATATGCATCGAATCAGGTGCAGCACACCCGAAGATCCATCACAAGACACAATACTGCAAGTAGCAGTAAGCATCAATGCAACTATCATACGGATGGCGCCCCCTCACAACACACCTACATGATCCCTATCGACTTTGGTAACAAAATTTAATAATGTTGTTAACTAAAAATACCACCAACGTATCATAGTAGCACGGTACTAAGACGTCAGTAGCCAAAACTCCACGTATCATAGCGCTATTGCACTAAGACATGAAGTTGAGTATGCTTGCTGCACTTAAAAGTAACTACCAAACACACTCACCCTAATCCGAAAGATAGCCGACGTATCATAACGCTATGCGCTAAGACGTCGCCCACAAACGGTAGGGGTGTGCGATGTCCACGGGCAAGTCGTATTGCTACAACAAACCCGCTTACCACCGGCACTAAGATGATATGTCTAGGACACATCGGTTAGTGAGTCCAAGTTTACCTCGGTCTCAGAGGCTGCGAAGTAACCTACACGCCACTATAATAATCCTTTTCAAGTCCCATTTCTTTCAATATAATGCTTTTACATATTTGAGACCTTCCACATATTTGCTTTATTTCATAGACCATACTACTGTATGTCTTATTCATATGGGACTTCAAGTCATAACTCTGCTATCATAATGCTTATGCATCATAGAGACCTTCTATATTAATGCTTTGGTTCGTCAGACCTTACTATGTTAAGTCCCTAATATAGGACTAGTCATTGTGCAACCTTAGTACTAGCAGTCGGTCAGCCGAATACCCCATATATATGTACAGCCTTGGGTATGTGTCTCCGACAACGCCCCAATATAAGGGAACATTACAAGAACACGTTCATTAACTTAGAAATTTTCCAATTATTACACGAACACCTTCATCAACTTAGAAAATTTTAATCCATTGTTTCTATTATATTACAAATGTTATTTATCTTTGTTATTGCAATATAATCGTCTTGTATTTATATGATTTGATACATTTTGAACATTTTAAGCAGGTTTTTAATAAATTTAGAGATTTTTAGAGACATTTTATGCGTTTACTAATATTATA